CTAAACGACCCTATGCCTCAGCCGTCGACGGGCTTGACACCACAATACAACCAGCCGACAAGCGGACCAACAGGCCCAGAGAATGCACCAAGTCCGTTCTCAAACCTGTTTGGAGCGAATCTGTTCCAAAATCTAGATCTCCCGCCGACAGACAACATCAACTGGGTTCGTCGTCATCACAATCCCGCGATTATCACTCGGCTAACATGACTAGGACGCATGGGACTCGTACATCCAAGGTCCTAACCCTGGCATGGAAGCGACCAACAACTTCTTCCCCATGGATCTTGGTAGCATGCCTATGCAAACCGAGCAAAACGGGATGCCAGCCACAGGACAGACACCGAGCCAGCAACCTATCCAAGGCAACCGAGCAAACATGTTCGGGCAGGATGTCTACATGGGCGTAAGTACTGATGATCATGATTCATTGCATTTTATTGATAGCTGACAGCAACAAGGCTGATTCCACGAAGACGAACTCTGGTGAAGCGTACACCATGGGGTTTTTGATGCCGAAGCAGTCTAACTAGTACTTCGCGTCCTTGTGTTGTTTGCGAGCGGGTATTGAGCCTATGATTATGTAACTTGAGCGCCGTTTGTATGTGCACGGTATGTACTTTCGGAGGCCGAAGCTTGGTGGTGTTGCTAGATACCCGTCAGCTATTGGATGTACAACAGGGCGGGAGGAAGGAGGCGCAGCAACCAATGTGCCCCGCGCAGCGATGGAAACATGAATGAACTCAGCTCAGCCTTTGCGCTTGTTTCAAATCCCCACACATATACCCAGATTTTCCACATCTTCTTTTGCCAACTCAATCTTCTTGACCTGCCTTGTGGCGTACTCGCCCACTTCGTATCCCGATATAGCCCGCGACGATCAAGGTCCATACCAAGACATCCACCCCGGCCAGCTGCCGCGTCGCTGCCCCACTTCAACCGCTGGACCCTGAATTGCCGGCGCGTGGGCTGTCAAACGTCATCGCGGTCACGACTTGCTTACGCGCTCGCGGGCTTTTGTTTGGCCGTGAGGCTGCGAAAGGCGGGCTGCCTGAGGCTTGGGTTGCACACGAGGCAGCTGTGCCGCCTACGTAGGTCTGCGCACGTCTGCTTGTCACGCACCTTACCTTTCCGACATACAGCCGTGGGAGCGACGTGACGAGGCTGAGAACTGCGCATACGACCACTACTGCAGCATTCCTACGAAGCAGTCTCTGTGCATCAGATACCGCCATCGCAACTCCCTCCTTTCGCCATACACACAATGACAAACCCACCACCCACCATCTCTCCTCCCCCTCTCACTGCAGCAACCTCCTCTCCTCCCACCTCCGACCCCATCCCCCCCGTCTCCCGTACCTCTACCTTCCCGCATAAAACTAGTCCAGCAGTCTCCAGCCTAACTCCGTTGATCGACACGAATACACCCGCGATAAACGATGCGCCGGTCGAGTTGGACGGCGGCGCGATAACGCCTGAGGAGCTGAGGAGGCGTATGAGTACAACGGGAGATGGGGTAGGTGGTATGGGAGATGGGTTGGGAGGCGTGAGAGGCTCGATGCGGAGCCCGGATGATGCGGAGGGGATTGATGCGGAGTTTTTGGGTGAGGGGGTGGGGGCGGGGAGGGGGGTTAGGGAGGTATGTCTATATTAGTCCGCTCATCTTGAGAGTCTGGGCATGACGCGCAGCTACGCACTCGTGGCTGGTGAACGGCTTGTGGGAGGGTTAGAGCACTTGGCTGACATAATACAGAAACGCGCAGCGATGCTGGCTTCGCGATCGAAAGACCCCAGTGTTATCGTCGACGTACCGCAGGAACCTACGGCTGAGGAGGTAGATGCTGCGAGGAAGGCGGATGCGCTGTTGCCGCCCGGTATGAGGGGGAAGATACCTCAGGCATGACGATGGGAGACTGTTCTCGATCTCAGTGTACGACTAGAGAGTAGTGCCACGCATGATGGACCTAGGAGCGAGGGTAAACTAGGCTTTACATGCGCGGGATAGTCCTTGGGTTTGGTAATCTACATCGATGCATGGCAGACCGCTGCTGATGTTCTTCGCGTTTCGCAGAATTACCATGAGTTCACATTGATAATCTTTTGGACAGTTCGTTTAGCGCACCGGCGCACGTAAACATCTTCCCGGAGGCCACTATATAAGATCTCCCATGATCCAACTCTCTTCTTTCATTCCACACAACAATTCATACATTCTCATTACCAAAATTCACTCTCACCTTCTCCATGTCCGCCGCTCGGCCTGCCCTTCTCAAAACACCCTCACCAAAAGCCATGTCCCGCCTTCCTCTCCATCTTTTCTACAAACTTCCAAAAAAGACTCCGGAAGTTGCGATGACTTCGTCGACGGACGGCCTGTCGAAAGATGCATTTGATCGCAACATGCGACTACGACTATTCTGAACGAAGTTACAAAACGCGGTGATCGTATACGCCATGTGCTGCTTCCAAAATCGCAAGACCATCGTCGTATGTTCTGCAGCCAGCGCTGAAGCACCCCGACCACCTGATGCTTCCGCCTATAAAGGCCTCTTCCGGCACAGCAGTATCTTTGCTCACCACTACACTCCAAACTATTCTCAATTCACCAAAAATCACGGACGATCGGGATATGTCTGCTGTCTCCTCTGGCACCAAAAAATGCCAAATCGAGCTTTGGATGTTTCGGCTGCGCTGGTGTGTCTCTGCGGACGGCACAAAAACTACGAAATCCAAATGCTCATGGCTGTTCAAGTTCGAACAAACCAAAGGACGGTTGTTGCGATGTTGGGAAGAAGACCGTCGGGCCTTACAAAAGTGTGGTCTTGCATCCATCATGTAAAATTACCTCGCCTCTGAGGTTATTCACTCCAAACTTGGTATCACTCTGCGCATGATCTATCCTGACGCCAAGCGCAAAAACTTCACAAGATCAAACATGCCTTCCTCATGTTTCTGCATCGGGGCTCGGAGAAGGACAAGATGATCTAAGCCTACGCCTAGAGGTCACTATATAAACTTCTTTTCCGTGCTTCCAGATTCTCGTCCTACAACTTCTTCCCCATTATTCATTACCAAAATAGTTCAAGAGCCTTGCCATGTTGCCGGCTTTCCTGTAACAAGTATCGTAACCAGAGGTATATGCCTTCTTGCTTTGTTCAAAGAAATCCGCCACCAGCCCATGACCTTTGGGCAGCTGAGCCGCAAGCCTTAGATACTGGCGCTTTGAATTGCCACTAAAAAGGCGGATGCTTTACGCTCATGGCTCGGCTCTGCTGTCAGAAGCCTTGATAGACTGGGATATGCTGCCCAGTGTTCAAAACTTCGTTAGGAGGTTCACATGAGCTCGAAGTATCCCGGTTCTCCATACTCAGTTGTCTGCGCTCAAAATTGGATGTTCGGCGCGCATGTTGCCTGGACTGTCAGAGCGCTCATACGCACTTATATAAGTTGTGCGTTCGAGACCGTACTCCCTTCTTCCTTCATCACAGCTTCCGATTGTGAAACCAAAAGCTTTTGTGGAGAGGATCATGTCTTTCGATTCTTCCGCCCTTCTAAACATCGACCTCTCCAGCATCATGGGTCGCATATCTAGATATACGTAAAAACACTACTGGAGAGAACATCATGGGAGCGAAAAGACTCAAAAATACGCTACAACCTATTAATGTGTCTTCGGCAGTCTTCCTAGGCTAGTTTGATTACGTTTAGAGTGTGTACAAAAAGCGGAAGCGACTGCGCGATGCGAACGAGAAGATCAAAAGTACATTAGAAAGAAAGCATATGCTTGCTCCTGTGGAGAATCACCTACTCATAACACAACACAAGCACGAAAAGGTTACCAGACACTCTTCCAACCCCGCATTTCTTACCGAAATTCAATAAATTTGCGTTGTTGAGGCTCGTCGCAAATATATACACTCGAACGAAAATAAAGAACGCCTTGACCAGCCCGACTCTCAAGAATCCTCGACTGGCCTATTTGCAGTTCGTCCCCTTGTACACGAAAGTCCCATCCGAGTTCTCACACCCACAACTCCCATCCTTCGGACTCTTAATACACCCAGCCCCATCTCCCTCCTCCTCTCCCTCAACCCCCGCCTTCGCCCAGAAGAACGTCCAAGTCCCCGCTTCTTTCTTCATCGCACTACCCGGCGCACAGTTGTACGCTTCGCACGTGCCGTACGGGTACCCGTGGTTACCGTCGTACTGGTGGTCTTGGGTGAAGACGGCAAAGGTCTGGCCGGACGTGCGGGTGTTGTGGCTGCATTCTGCGGCTTGGATGGCTTTGCTTGTTTTGATGGCTATGAGGGGGTTAATTAATGGGAAGGTAGGGGTGGGGAGGCGTAGGAGCTTACGGGAGCAGGATGGGGCTGACGGGTAGCTGCCGTTTGTGTTGGAGGTTGCGGGGTCGAGGGTTGCGGTGACGGCTGTGGCTAGCATAAGCGCTGCTGCGATGGAGTAGTTGGTGAACATCATTTTGATCTAGTTGCTGGGTAACGAGCGTGTGGTGTTGTGAGTATGGGGTGAAGCGGGTTTGCTGAGCCACAGCGGTCGAGTATCTTATACAACACCAACCCCTTCCATCACGGTAATGTGTTTTTCCATTTACATGAGAAGGAGTAGGTGATCCACACACACGTACCACCCAATTACGCAGTCTCATGGGATTTGCGGTCTGGATGGTCTTGAAACGGACTAGACAGGGGTTGCGGGTGCGCAAAGCCACATCACATCTTCACGTAGAGTGGAGATGCATCGGATGTTTCGTGCCGCCAACGGGCCGAGCCTACTAATCTTCAATTTCTACTTACTGGTCCCGGTGCTGCGACATGCTGCAGCGTGGAGATGCTCATGTGCCCGTGGAGGCGAACCTTTGCATCGGCGATGAGGTCGGGGGATTTTCGCAAGGTGCTTGCAGCGTCAATGACCGGCCAGGTGCATTCGCAGAACTTGTTGTCGCACCGTGGGAGCTAGTCTGGAGAATACATGAGCCAGTCACCATGGAGCAGGCTGCTGGTGTGAGCCTCGTAGCCCTCACGGCCGCGCAAGCGATATGGTACCGCCTGGGCCTGCAAGCTCCGTTTGCTTACGATCGCGACCAAGTCTTTCAAGAGCACCCAGACTGGAGAGCCATACAGAACGAAGCAGATGGACCTGGTACAACCAACGTTCTCATCTGCGGCGCATCGACATCAGTGGCAGTATATGCCGCGCAGATGGTACGACTCAGTGCCAGATCCAGCGGCAAAGTTATCAGATTGTACGGCGTCCCTAGCGAAGCTCGATGGGAGTTTCTCAAAATGGAGCCCTACGGGTATGACGCTCTCGTGGACTATCGCGACCTCCATTGACCAAAGCGGATCAGAGATCTCACAGGAGGTGCTGGCATTCATTTTGCGTTGATCGCATCTCTGAGGGTAGCTCCGTCGAGCGCACTTGTTCAAGCCTCGCAGGCAACGGAAAGGTAGCCATTGTCCGATCTCGCGAAGGCGGAGCTTGGAAAGCACCCAACATTTCGGTTGAGCCAAGTTACGGCGCAGTGTGGGAAGGTTTGGGCGAGGAGGTCGAATACCAAGGCTTTACTGTGCGACGATCGCCAGCTGCGCGTGGGTTCACGGTGGCGTTTTACGCATGGCTCAACGGTTGTATGGGTTCCGCGATGAGTCCAGCTCCGATCAGATTGATGCCGGGTGGTCTAGAGAGCGTAGTTCAGGATGGCTTCCAGCTACTTGGTGCGGGTAGTATGGCGGAAAGACGTGTCATCCGCACTGAATCGTGGATGCGGCCTGTCAGCGCTGAGAAGCTTGTCTACGGTATCTAAAGGTCTGTCAATGTTTGTCGAAGTGTTGCATCTTGCCGCGTAGTAGATTTCCCTCGACAAGTATGGCCTACACGGCCGGACCGAGATGGCGTCGCGTGGTGCTGTTGCGAATCAGTACGCGTAGTCGCATGACATGACCTGGCCAGACCACCGAGATGTGCGCAATTACGCATGTAGGAATCTCCCCGGATGCATCATGTGAGAAGTGACAATAATCCATGTGGAATGCGATGGCGGGGCGACGTTCGCAATATTTGTGGCGTTGTTGGTGATGGTGTCATTAGTTCTTACGCGAGAAGGGGAAGTCGGGGCCGCCGGTGGGACTAGCTACTTCTGCATCCGAGGTCATCCCACGAATTCATTAATAAATCGACACACGCGACCCCTGAGGATTAGTTGAGCTTCCGTACGACGTTTATAGGCACACAAAGAGCAGCGTCAATAGTTCTTTGACCTCATGGCTGCATCGGGCAGAGCGTTTCGCGTGGAAGCGCAGTAAGGAGCACCCTTGCGATGCACCGCTTTGTTTGCGTCGCCTCGGCGGCCTACGACAGCACTGCCTTTGCGTCTGATGATGGTTTGATGCAAACATGCTAATGAGGCTTGATCATGGTCGTGGTCGCACCTTCATATCTGGCCGCTCTCGTCCTATCGTCATCATTCATCGATCAAGAAATCTAACCTTACACAATGATACCCGCACTTCGAGGAAGAGACGATGGCTCATGTCCGGAGGGAGGCGTGTTCTACAAGTGCAACGACTTCCGTGGCTGCTGCACGATAGACCCATGCATGCCAGGTAGTACCTGTCCTGCCGACAAGGACCGGACTCCAGGGCGATGTAAGTGCACCCAATTTGTTGGGCGGTTGTAAGAGCTGACCGTAAGTAGCCTCACATACATCATCGCCTACCCCAATTACATCGGTCTTGATGATCTCGATCACCGCGACGACTTCTTCGATAGCTTCTCCAACGGCCTCTGGATCATCCCTTAATACTGGTTTTACTATCAGCCTAGAAGAGCCCTCGTCAAAGACTGTTACACCGAGCGCATCAGCCACAGCGACACCATCTATCAACGCATCAGTATCAGTTGGCCACGCTCAGTCGTCAATCGTAGCGCCCGTGGTCGGCGCAGTGCTAGGCACAGTTATCTTGTGCGCATTGATCGCCTCTATACTCCTATACCTAAGAAAGAGACGGCGGACGAAGGTATACAAAGCAGCCACATACCCTTCTCCTTTGGTCGGTGATGATATGACATCGCAGTTATCAAGTAAGCCCACGCGTAACGCTTCGATCTTCGGTACACAGTGCTGACTGCATTCAGGGAAAGCATCCACCCAATTCCAGCAGAAAATAGCGGCACTCTACAGAGCAGACTCGATCACGGAACCAGAAGATCCACCTCAGCTAGACAGTCGAGAGATAGGTCAGCATGAACTCCATCGCAACGACTCGATGCCACGTCTCTCTGAGCTTCCCGCTGAGCCCATACCATGGCCAGGCCATGCTGCCCCCGGCTAGCCCTTTCTTTCATCATGATCATATTACAACAGAAGCCGCTGGGATATATCGAATCACCGATGTGTGATCAATATTGTAACTGTACGAGACGCAGGCGTCGAATTTAGATGGAAGAATGTTATGAGTCAATGTAGTAACACTGATCACAGTATCAGACGAGAAGGAGATGTACCATAACACACAGATACCCCGTAGCTCAGGTAGCTTAGAAACTTCGAGATTGCACTAGCACAGCACATGGAGATCCTGGTGTGATGCTTGCCAATTTTCGTTCTAGCCTGCGACTGCCGCAGCTGACCAATCATCGATGACTAGCCCCGCTGACGTCACAGTCGGGCAGCTACGATCTCACACCTTTCCGTCACTCGCGCATACCTAAATCTGCGCCAACTTTACCCGTTCGCTTTCCAACGAGAGATTTGAATCAACTCGACTCAATATACTCTTATCATCATGTCCGAAGACGGCGCGCCGCCTGCAGATTCGGCAACACAAGCAGCACCGCCTCCCTCGATACCCCGCTATTTTCGAAATGATGCGCCGTTGGCACGACGAGACCCTCACAAGCAACTGCTAGCGTCATTGGATCGATTGATTACTGACTATCCTCCGCACCATGTACCCCCAGGCGGTGGTCTATACTACGGACCGATTTCAGTAGCCTACCTCTTCTATGCCCTGCACAACATATACCCGGATCTTAAGCTGGATGACTACCCCTTGAACACATGGTCTGCGGCTTACATCGAACAAGCTCAGGCTCATATCAAGGAGTTCCCGCCACCATCTCCCAAGAAATGCGGTATTTCCAACGACATCATGTCTCTGCTTGCCCTTTACGCCGTGACTGCACAAGACCCAGACACTGTCAAGGAGCTCTGCGATCATGCTGCAGTCATGCTTGAGGATGAGACCTCCAACGAATGGCTTTACGGTCGCGCTGGCTATCTCTACCTCCTCCGCTTGGTCCGCGGGGCGTTCGCTCACAACAAGGACGTGACCGAGCTCATCGAAGACACAGCCGATGAGGTCATCGAGAACATCATGCACAGCCCGCGTCCCTGGAAGTGGCACGGGAAGGCATACGTGGGTGCCGTTCATGGCGCAATCGGTATCATCACACAGATCGTCCTCACCGACCCTTCCTGGGCGTCTAAGCTGGAGGCCGAACTAGGCGCCTTGCTCAGCTATCAATACGAGAGCGGCAACTTCCCTTCATCTCTGCCCCCAGGTCGTGACAAGCTTGTTGAAGTCTGTCACGGAGCACCGGGTGTAGTCAATTCCATCCTCTCAATCCGAAAATACTTCCCAGGACTTCAAGACCGCATTGATCGGGTCGTCGCAAAAGCTAGAGAATGCATCTGGGAAAGAGGCCTGCTCACCAAGGAGCCATGTCTCTGTCACGGTATCACTGGAAACGCTCTCGCTTTGGACGGAAAGCAATTCGAACACTTCTTGACATACACCACAGGCCATGAGATCAAGTCGATGGCCAAAGACGGAATGCTTGAGAAATCGGAAGACCCATCTTCCCTATGGTGTGGCGAGGCAGGTCGTGCCTGGGCCTGGGCGGTCGCGGATAAAGATCTGCCAAAGACACTTCTCGGATATAACGACATCTAAACCCTCGAACGGGTACTCCCAGTATCACGACTGGCACTTTGACGATACACACGATGTTATGAACGAGATGACCGCCAGGCGGTTTGCGCATGTGGTCCTATGCGGAATACTTGTATGAGGATGCACAACGCAGTCAGCTACGGCTAGCGGCACGAATGACCTGTATTAGCGTCCTAATTAGGAACCATTCAAATCAGCAATCAACTATTTCCGGAGTCTTGCAACGTTCCACTTCCATGTATGCGAATCAGTTTACCTTATTCCCCGCCGTCGGTCGCCGTAAGCATCCGCTAGGCGCGTCGGTGCTCCGTGGAGCCTCAAACGGCACGATATATTAACGGAAAAGCTAGGATTGTGGAGACGATACTCGCGACATCTCCTTCGGCGGATTCATGTTGGGCAATCTCCGTCAGTCAGACACGTAGCCGCGCGGGGTACACAGCATGTTGCGCATTGCTCCACGCGCCGTGCAACATTGAATGCAGAGATCCGCGGGTGTTACCGAACGCCGACAAATGGCCCTACCATCTTTTGTCTGTATATTGAGTTGTGGATTAGGCTGAAAAGCTTATGCGTCGTGCGAACCATATTCGGCGTTGACAGACAGCTTGCGTTCCGAAACCGCGGTCGAAACTATGTAAGATTGCTTGCGGTAATGTATCCGGCTGATGTTTCACACAAAGGCAATTCGCGAAAACCTTGGAGCGATGTTATTCTGTGCTCCTACGACTTGATAACTACCGGTGCGGGAGAGACGAGGTCGTGATCAGAAAAGCACATTTCTGGCACGTCAACAAACCCCTTGACGATGCTTCTTTCGTCGATGCACCTTCGACTCAAACATCACACGCTCTCTTTCTATCTCAATCGCTAGCTTTCGCCCTGTAATTTAAGTGACCAACTGTTATCGTCGCATCTCTCTTTTCCGCTTCTAGAAGAACGCCAGCGGGAGGGTAAACTTACAACGCACCTGCCACGCCTGCTCTCATACTGCGTTGCTGCATTAGCGGTATATCCTCCCATAACAGCGGGCAACTCACACTTTTCGTGCTGTATTTCTCGTTTTCGTCGCGTCACAAGGTGAGTGCGTCACATTTCACCCAGCAAATTCCTTGGTTCAGGGCACGCCTTCGCTACCACATCTCTTGTCATCACAACAACAACACAGGTCTGGGAGACCAACAACTCTGGTCCGCAACAAGCTTTGCTGTCGTATCGCGTCCCTATGCAACATCCAGTTGTTTTCATTTTGGGCTCCTAAACCTAGTATTTCGACTGTGGATGACAGGCGCGATCGTCACTCACTCTCACCGCATATGACCTCAATGTGGCTAGTCTGTTTTACACGCAGGGACTGCAGGCTCTGATGTACAAATATATGTCTCTTTGCTCCCCTCTGACCGGCTCTCCGCAGATATACCCTTCGTTTGACGCGACAGTCGCTCACCATGCTCATCCCGTGGCTCGCTCGATACTTAATACCGTGGCTTTTGATATCATACGTCACGTGTACGCCTGTATCGGAAAGGAAGAGCTCTCATACCGTCCGTCAGTCCGCAGTGGGCGTAGTGACCGGAGTGAAGTCGCGAGATGAAAACGGTTAGTATCCAATTAGATCGCACGTGTATCAATCGCCGCTAACTTTTCACAGGCAATGTTTATGTGCGCCGGGAGGTGAGGGACTTGAAGAACAACGCGCCAGACCAATGGAGTCTTTACATCTTGGCGCTCCGACAACTTCATACAACTTCCCAGAACAATCCCACCTCGTTCTACGGTATTGCATGTGAGTGCATCCGCTGTCAGCATGGTTCATCGCTTACTGACATACTTCTCAGCGATACATGGAAGGCCTTACGACGTTTGGGGAGATGCACCAGGAAAGAAAAACAAGATTGGCAAGGCTGGCTACTGCCCACATGGCAATGAGTTGTTCCTGGGTTGGCATCGCCCATACCTTGCGCTATTCGAGGTGAGCTTTACACCTTCGCACCTCCACCTTTCCCTAGAAGAATAACGACAAGGATACTGACTGATCGTAGCAAGCACTTTCAAGCCATGTCTACGATATCGCTAAGAAAGCACCCGCCGATCAGATCGAACGGTATCTCAAGGCAGCAAACGAATTCCGCATACCTTATTGGGACTGGGCCCAAGGTACCACTATTGGCCCCGTTCCCGACTTCTTTACAGCCCCCGAAATAGCGGTGACGGATACGGACGGCAGTCTGACAGTGGTGTCAAATCCGCTGTATTCCTACAAGTTCAATCCCATACCTGCGGGCTTTGATCAAAAGGTAAGCGACCTCAATCGTTGAAGATGGTCGTACAGGATTTCTAATCCATCATGCAGTGGGCCTCTATGAGTTCGACGATACGATGGCCGAGCGACGCGACCGCCAATGCGACATCGCGACAATCGATGTTTGTCGGTGCCTTCAATGCCCAGTCCACCAATCTGATATCTCAAGTTGGTGTTGCTTTCCGCGCGAGCACTTTCTCGCGATTCTCTAGTATACTAGAAGATCCGCATGGTTGGATACACGGCGTTATCGGCGGTGGCTACGATCCCACCACGTCTACCCCCGGTCATATGTGGCCGCTGGAGTATTCGTCATACGAACCTCTCTTCATGTTACATCATGCGTAAGTGTGCTTCATCATTAGACTCACATAAGCTAAGAGACCGTCAGAAACGTCGACCGCCTACTCGCACTATACCAGGGAGCGCACCCCGATCTTTGGATGGAGAAGTCAAGCATAGGACCGCACGGCAATGTTTATCTTGACGACTACCAAGACGTTGACGCTAACACCGAACTTCTCCCATTCAGAAAGGATCCCGGCAAATTCATGACCTTCAACGACTGTCGCAACACCACTGTCCTAGGCTATGCCTATCCAGAAACCAAGCGCTGGGAATTCGCATCGGATAGCGCCTATCAGACGGCTGTCACGGCGAGCATTGCAAGGATGTACGGTGGACGCGCCCGCGCACAGAGCAAAGTTACAGTCTTGAGTACCAAGCCAACGCCATTCGGAGAAACACTCGAGGACAGCAACGGCACCTACACCGACTGGACTATCGAAACACAAGCGATCGCTTCCAGGCTCCCACCGTCATTCATCGTGAAGTATTCACTAGGCGGCATGTTCAACTCCGATCCAGTCGTCGACGTAGGAAGCTGGATGATGTTGATGCCAGAGCGACTGGACGATGTGCACACCGAGAAAGATCCCTCAACACCGGAGAAGTTGATGAACGGTACAACAAGTATCACACCTTATCTCGTCGAGCAGATTGAGAACAAGGGCTTGAAGAGCCTGGAGCCCAGCGACGTGGTGCCTTTCTTGACCGAGAAGTTGACCTGGAACGTCTATGATGTGAGTCCACCCCAGGTCATGCCTGATTTCAAAACTGACTTATACTTTTAGCAAAATGGCGAACGTGTCAAGTTTCCAGACCAAAAGACACTCTCGGTCAAGGTATTCAGCACCAGCGCGCGCGTGCCAGACAACGACGAAGAGCCGATCGAATACGACGATGGAAGCACGGCTTATCCCGAGATCACGGCAGGCAAGTCTGGTGGTGATAGGATGAGTCGTCCGGGAATGATGCCTCCACGATTCTAGTGCCTTTGCGCCTTCAGCAAGTTCGTTTTCAGTGTCGATAGCTTTCCTTGTGTCCTTTCCGTAGAAGGCAATGTGTGGTAGCAAGACATATCGGGACCAACATTGAGCCTTCTTTGATAAACCAAAAGTAACATTGACCCACTACGAAATCGTGCTTCATGAAATTGCAAAAGTGTCTTTTCCGGCTACAGACAGCAAGCTGTAGGCCTCTTGCGTGATGCGGCACCCCGGACATACGCCGATCTTAACCCCATCCGCTAGCCTCGTACCCCACACATGCAATCTGATTCGCTGAGCTGAGCTTCCAGACCTCAGCACGGCGCTTTTCCGAAGAGCTTGTCACTCCTTGTACATACTTAATCACCTCAAGCATTACTCAAGCATCATTAGCCGTTTCCCCAGCTGATGCAAAGGCTTTGCACAAATGGCCTGCCCACTCCTGCGTAGTTCGCGAACCCTTGAATCGGCCCGCCTAGCCGCACTACACCCGCGGATACATATCCGCAGTCTATCAACCATCGTCACAACATCGTATCCATTTAACCAACGGCACACACTCACAAACCCTCAAACCCAAAAAGCAAAACAACCACGACCAAGTCTCTACAACCATCAGCAACAACACCAGCCCTTCAGCACAACAAGCGCGAGAATGTCAACAGAACCCCCACCAAAGAAAGACTGGTCAGCAACCCAATACCTCAAATTCAACAACGAGCGCCTGCGCGCCGTCTACGACCTCATCTCTCAAATCCAACCCAACATCACCAGCTCAACCCCACGTATTTACGACCTCGGCTGCGGACCAGGGAACAGTACGAAAGTCCTCCTCGATGCGTTTCCCTCTGCGCGCATCACGGGTATGGACAGCAGTCCCGACATGCTAAAGAAGGCAAACGCAGAATTCGAAGGGAAAGACAGTGTAGATTTCACACGAGGGGATCTAGCGACGTTCAAAGCAGACGGAGACGTAGATGTATTATTCAGCAACGCGGTATTCCACTGGCTCCGGTCTTCCGAACGCATACCCACGCTCGCGCGCCTGTTTTCCTCGCTGAAAAGCGGGAGCGTGCTGGCTATCCAGGTCCCGGACAATTATCACGAGCCCTCGCACCGGATGATGCGTGAGACAGCCCTCCAATCTGGGAAGCCTTGGTCAGACTCCTTTGCGGATACGCAGATTGGGGATTTGACGGATACGACAAGACCGGATTTGGATCCTATCGAGGAGCCGAGTGCGTTTTATAATGCGTTGGTTGGGGAGGCGAGTTTGGTTAATGTGTGGAGGACAAAGTATATGCATGTGCTCAAGGATGCGGGGGCGATTGTGGAGTGGGTCAAGGGGACGGGGTTGCAGCCTTATTTGAATAGGATTGAAGGAGAGGAGGCAAAGAAGGCGTTTTTGGAGGAGTATGAGAAGGGGCTGGAGGGGGAGTACCCGGAGTTGGTGGATGGGAAGGTACTTTTGGGATACCCGAGGTTGTTCGTTGTTGCGGTCAAGAAATAGAGCTTTGTGAAGTAAGAGTTGCATTAGCGGATTTTAGATCCGATGTCGACCAACTACTATGCTATGCTGGGTTTATATACATGCTTTCTGGAAAGTGCCTTGTATGTGCGTTCAGATAGCTAGCTATCTATACAGGTAGTATACGACTCATCTGTGAGCAACATGTAGACTGAAACTCTCCGCCTGATATTTGTTGCGCTCGAAATCTAGAAGGCGGCTTTCAGGTTGTAGTGGAGTTGGGATGGTAACGCTTCGTGCATTTCCAACAAACCCGTACACCACATCCTCTAAAGTTACAGCCATGGACCCAGCGGTCCTGGCTCTTACAGTAATCGCATTTGGTATCGACGCCCTTATTCCAATACAATCGCCTAAACTCGTGGTCATCGGCTCGAGGATGGTGTGGCTGCGGATGCTGACCGAAGGGTTGAAACTGTACTGGGGCATGCAGCTGAGGCTGAAAGACGGGAGCGCTTGGTACTGGGGCATACACAGCTGGTGCAAAGCCAAACGGTGGGACAGGAGGTATGACGTGAGCAGGGTTTGCAACGTAGAAGGGAGCATTGTTGGCGGCCACTGGTGCAGCAAAGAACGCTGGTACGGGTGGTGCCATATTTGCAGGATTGACGACGTTTGGGACGGCAATGTTGGCGGGTACTGGTATATCAGCAATACGGCGCGCATTCTTTCCGCAATTGCACGTACGCCATGGCGCCTGGCACCGGTAGCAGAAGTGGTGTTGGCAGCGGCATCTAAAAGGTCAGTTGAACGTATCAGAGGCGCAAGGGACGTAGGTACGTACGTGATGTGAAGACAGCCACCCTTCAGCTCTACCATCTCGTTGCAATTGGGGCAAGTCTGCCATTGCTTCTCCTTGGCCACGTCCATGAGCTTCTTCACATCCGTATCGTCTTGACAAAGACCATCATGTTGCCCACGTTTGCAAGTCTCGCAGGTTCTGTGGATGCATGTTGGGCATGTCGCGATGTTTGCTACGATGTTGACAGGTCTGATCCATTTTGAGCAGAGAGCGTTACTGCAATACGTTCGGTTTGACGTCTCCAGTTCTTCTCTTTTGGCCACAAATCGAGCGAAGAGCGCGGGCGGCAAATACGGGATGCAGGCAAAGACCGGTAATATCTGATTACAGCATCGCGGTGGGAATTGCGAAGAATCTGTAATGCAAGTCTCGAAGAGGTGGATGAGACATTCGCGGCAGTATGCATGAGCCTCAGCGTCACTAGTGTTCTTGCATTGAAGCTGGATTGTGTCTCGGATGGGGTGCATGTCCAAACACGCAGAACATTTGCGAGACATGATAGTGCCGGATCCGGCTGCAAGGAGACCATGATCTTCATTGCCGATTGTGCCGGACGAGGCGACATTGGCGGTAGCATTGGTAAGAGTAGTGCTGGCCTCTGATCCAAGCTTGGTTCGCTTGGTTCGCCCGTCGACTTCCTCCCTAAATGCTGCAGGCTCAACGCAGGCGGTCCGTTTCTTGAGTGTAAATTCATGCGTGTATGGTGTGAATGAGTTCCTGTCTCCATCATCCGCATCTTCAACGCGCGCACGCTTGAAACTGTTCAATGACAAGGCAGGCCACCAGCTGTTTCCGGCAGGAGGCTTGGTCTTGGTAGGTGCCGTTTGCGTCCCAACGGAGCTGAAGCGGGGAGCTTCTTGAGCGAGTGTCCTGCCGTTCACGCCTTCGGACTGCTTATCTGCTGCGATTCTGTGTGCTCCGTGATCGTTCGATACCGCAGGGCGTTGAGGCACCGGCAGACCTGCAAATCTGCAAGCCATCTCGTAGTTGCCTTCATAGTGTTAGTATAGATTCATGTACCATGATCAAAACGCTTGTACTCACGATCAGCCTGCTGCGCTTCACCCGAGTGCTGCGTAAAGGCCTCTCGAACAGCGTTGTCCTCCCGAACGATGATGAGCGTAAAGACTGCATCGTGTAACTTGTTCCACTCCCCCAGTAGCTGATCGCGGAACGCGGCGAAAGCGGCCCCTTCGCGGTCGTCATGGCTGGTCTTAGACAGACTCTGGAGAGCGGCGTTCAGGTCCTCGCGATGGAGCCCAAGTATGACCTTGGTAGTGGCGGGATCCATCGTGCGCGCGACGCGTGATACAAGTACAAGTACCGGTTAGTACGGGTGACGAAAGCTACCTTCTGGAGCCTTCTGCGAAACAGGTAGTGCTGCGAAGCGATGACCTTGTGCTGCACGCAGCGAATGCAACGTCCGCGAGAGAAGATTGAGGTAAAGAAAGATACATGCAGTAAAGTGAAGTTTCGCTGCGCAGGGTGTGAGGGAAGCTTCATGAAGGTGAGTACTGGCGAGCGGCAAGTGCCAAGCACGGTGAAGATGAGGAGGAAAGCGCGTCCCTCGCACCGTAAACAACAAGACGAAACATGACGTAGAGGGTGGGAGAATGATCAGATACCTACACCGGCTTCTAAAGCCATCTACCAACAGTAGGCAACATAAGTCTCTGAAGACTACATCGCGCGACTTCGTACATTATCTCCACCTTCGGCTCGACGTCTACTGCAGCAGCCTACGCAGCTTCCATGCAGCTCGGCCATGCAAGTCCACCCATCCCAATCCGTAGTACTCTTCACACTCTCAAACACCACCTCTACAAAGCACTCCGCACTCGCACGCGCATAATCGCGCCACCGATAAACAATGCCAAGATCGTATATGGCACAATGTGATTACCCAGAAAACGCCCATACCAATGCTGCAGCAAAAATGTTGTTCCTTCCAGTACGCATCGCGCAAGCGCAGGATGCCTACAATGCAATCAAACAGGTTCGTCAAACTTATGCCAAGCCGATGCGTGAGAAGATGGACTGGGCCAGTCTAGATGTCATAACGTAGACTCTGGCCAGGGGTATAGAATAGAATTCGCCGCTCATTGAATGCTTTTCGCTCAAGCCATGCATAGATGGTTGCATGCAATCAACGCCTTGTACTCCGGGAGGGTTCCAAAAAGAGAGTGGTCGTGTCTCATCCAGCGCCCGCGGTGCCAATCTGTGTATGTTTTTGGAAGCCGGGCGAGCGGTAGCTGTGCCGATGAGGCGATGCAGTGCGGTGGCCGTCGGAAGAAGCTTGGGGATTCTGGGCGAATGCAGGGTTGGGTGTATTTCGGTCGTACCCTGGTGTGGGGCTGTGCTGATTGCTGCCCATAGGTTGAGCACCCCCGCCGGGGATCTGGCGAACGGACGCTTCGCCAGCTTGAGCCGAGGGGTTGTTGTCCGCGGTCGTAACTTGAGGCGAATTGCGCTGGTCTTTTCTGGAAGCTGTGCCAGTTTGGTCTCTGGGTGATGGCGTAGGAGCTGACAGAGGGTTCTTCCCCCGCTGCTCCCATTGGCGCATGATTTCCTTCGCGCTCATGTCGGACACTTCATCGCTGAGTAGTTCCATGATCTCGGGTGGTACCTGTTGACATTAGCTTGAGATTGAAACGGTGTCATGGTGGGGCAACATACCTCCGAGAATTCATCGTTGTTTTCGATGAGATCAAACACGACCTTGACCGCGCCCTGGTCCACGCTCTTGACTTCTTTGTCATTGCTCTCTCGCAGAATGTTGGGAGCCATAACGGTGGCGATGTTCCAGGTGTCCATCTTGTTGCCTGTCTCTTCATCCACAGTGTGGAACGATGAAACCCAGTTCAGGAAGCAGAACAGGACTTCCATTGTGTCGCGGTGGGCCTTGGGCAGCAGGCAAAGCACGAGATGCAAGACCTTCTTTCTTTGTGCCTCATCTTCAATGTCTGCTAATGTTAGTCACGCACGATCGGTAAGATGAAGCGACTTACCATTAGCCACCATGAACAGCCTATATAGCTTCAATGTCAATACCGGCTCAGGCATCAACCTGAGGAAGCGCTTCAGGAGGTTGGCGAGTATGACTGGGTTCTTGGTATTCAGGTCGACCTTCTGAACACCGTGAGCGTCAATCTCTTCCTCAAGTTCGCGCAGAGCTTTGAGGTTGCCGTTCTTCCTGAACACACCCTCGATGGACATATCCATACTTCTCATCGCAGTGATACAATCCTGGAGCAGAGCTGGAACTTTGAGAGCGCCCGGTCCTACACCCTCCGTGCACTCATCACCATACTTTTCCACGAGGTACTCAAGCGACTGTCGGAAGGTTGCTTTGTCCGAAACTGGCTTCTCGACTCCTGTAACACCCTTCTTCGGCTTGCTTTTGTCGGCCTTGAACGCTTTGCCAAACCCGATCTTGCCCCAGAAGTTGTTTTTCTTCGACTCGATGAGATCGAGCAGATCGCCTTGGTTGTACTGATTGTCGTCGAGCAAGAGGCCAAGCTGGAGTACTGCAAGGCCCTTCAGCTTAAAGTATTCAAGTGGCGACAGCTCCGAAAAGTAGGTTCGTGAGCGACCTTCGGTCATCTGTTGTAGATCCTGGGCACCAGAGAAGTCGCGACGATGGCCATTCTGCAGCTTCGGTTGATCTTCTCGTCCCAGTAGTGCGCTTCCACCAGCGCGGAATGCATTTGGACGTTGCTCTCGTTGCTGCTCCAACGCAGCCATGCGAGCAATGTCGTCTAAAGCGAGAGAGTTCACAGCGAGTGTTACAGCATCGGCGTCGCCTCCTAGCTCGCGTTCCTGAACGATTTGCATTCCTCCTCGCATTTGTCCTTCTCCTTCGAGACCCTCTGGACCGTCAATGATTCGTGATGCGCGCGCACGTTTCATCGTGTTGGAAAGGTGCTTGTCAAGTCGTGTCGATCGTAGGCGCTTGATGTCAGACATGGATTGCTCGTAGGCGGCGTTGTTGCTGTTTTGACTGTCTGTTGCTGATGTCCCTCCATACGACTTTGATCGTGTGTCCGGTCGCAAATGCGGCGGGTCATCCCCAAGGCGATGTCCCTGTGTGGAATCATAGCCTGCCAGGTTGGGATCATCTACAAGTCATTAGTGGGACGAATGTAATCTCGGAAGCGGCTCCAGAAATCTGAGTCGGAGTGTCAAGATGAGTGGTGACGAGGTGATCTGTTACGGAGAGTTATTCTTACCTGAAGTGTGTGGCAATGCGCCACTGGATCGTAGGGTCGCCATAAGACGTGCATGCGCCACGTTTAGTAGGTGCACATACTGACGCAGCTTGGTGACCTGCTCGAACCCGTTCTCAGCGTCTGGCTGCGCTGCTGCACATGCCGGGCAAAAGATGCTTCGCTTCGATTTACTCCAATAGGCGCTCTGAGGGCTATGGCGCAAGTCGGCATTGCAGCCACGGCATACCATACAGCTGTAATTGTACGACATGTTGTTTAGGTGTAAACACTTGTCTTCGACCTGGGCATCGCATATTGGACATGCGTCAGCCCATCTTGGGACAAGCCGCGCGGACTCAGCCGCCTGGTCTCTTTGGGCCTCGTCCTCCAACCGCGCATCGAGTGAGTTTACTTGGGTAAGGAAGTTGGTCAAACCGGTGGAGCTCCGGGTCTCACGCTCTAATTTTAGAGAACCCTGCAGACATATGCGGATGAGGAGCTTCAAGTAGTGGGCTAAGCCAGTAACCAGGGACAGCAATTCTTGGGTCACGCCCAGTCGTCGCACGCCAGTACCCTGGGACTGGGTAAGAAGCGCGAAGAAGGCTACCACTTTCTTACAAAGTAGCTTTGATTCGCGCGAATAGGTCAATCCCTTGGGTGTCCTGACGATCAATTGCGCATCGAGCGCGTCGGCGGCCGCGAAAAGCAGTTCGACGTGCACAATAAACTTTTTGGCTGCCATGACACCGTCGACGTAAGCACCGTTACTCACGTGCAGGAGCATGTCGGAGATGCAGGTCGCGGACTTTTCCTCGAAAGCCGAAAGCGTCTTCCAGATCCAGTTGACCTTGGCTTCGATCTCTTCCTCCTGTTGGCGGACGCTCTCGCGCACCTCATCTGTCGCGTCGCCATCGGCATCCTGCAATCGCTCGATGACAGGTTGGCCTGTGGAATGAAGCCTGACATTCCAGTATTTGTGGATCATGTAGCATTCCGGATGCCAATGCTGGTTCTGTCCATTTCGGAAGATCTCGACGAACTGCTTCAAAATCGATGTCTGACAGCCGTTACACCGCTGGGCGAATTTGGTGGAGTAGTGGTAGTGACAGTAGACGCTGCCCTCGTGCTCGTAGTAGCTGTCCGAGGCGCCGAAAACGGTGGGACACACGGAACAGGTAAAGTGCTCAATGTGGTATTTCCGGTCTAGCGCTGTGATGTAGGAGCCGCGCAAGGCTTGCCCGCACTCGAAGCAGAGCAGATCGAGACGCCGGAAATAATCTGTTTCGCAGAGGGGGTACTGGCCGGGTGGCTTGTCGGGTACGGGGAAAAACTTGGAGGCAACGATTTTACCGCAGTCCTAGAAGGCAGGTCAGCACTGTGATCAGAGATGCTATGTAGAGAATTATTGCGCTCGAGACAAATGGGAGCAGTCCATCCAGGACAGCGTTGCGCGCACTCGCGTCGCTAGAGATCAAGAGACGTGCGTACGCCCAACTCCTCCATTCCAGAAAACAACATGGGTGTCTTACGTGACAAGTAAAGCATTCCAAATGGTAGGTGTCGCCCAAGGCTCGCACAAATTGTCCAGTCAGTCCTTCCCCACACTTTCCACATATCTTGCCGCTTCGCTTGGGTTTGGCGACGGGCTGGTTCTGGTCCCCCGGGTCGGTCGACGATCGCGGGGGGTAGTTGGTGCGGTCGTAGGGCGCAAGACTGGTTGACGAGGATGCGGCCTCGTCGGTGGCGCGTCTGGAGAGGCCATTGTTGCGCGGGTCGTAGTTGTACTGTGACTGGGCGCCCTGATGATCCATCGGAGGCGGTCCCTCCGCCGGTGTTCCCATGTCCAGTTACGCCAGCTTCGACAATCCTCCACTTCGATGCAGGGTCCGGAACGGGTGCGTGGCGTAGCCGAGGTGGGAGGGGCGCGCGACAGGGAGGCGAGAGGTGGCAGGGACGGGTTTGTCAGAGTACGTTTGTCGGATGAGCTGCGGCGTTGGTAGGAGGTGCCGCGGACGAGGGGTGTCGAGTCGCGGTGGATCTACCCGGGGAGGTGGCCAAGGGTAGAAGGGCGGCGATGCGTTGG